CCCGTCGGAAGGTGCACAGGTGCATCCCACGGTTACTACTCGCCCTCCGCTGAGTTGATTATTATGGTCACAACCCCCGCGGTGCCAAGGTGGAGCCACCGCGCGTATCTCGATCGGTGCGCTTCTCCAGGGGCTGGGATGCGCACCGGGCACCTCTCGCTTCCTGCCTAGTTTCGGGTCCGAGCAGGGAGTCAAACGCCGCCGCAGGGCGCCGCGGCAGGAGGACCCAGTCGACCCGGAGCAGGATGCCGGTGATGAGAGGGCTGCTGGCCCCGCAGAACACCTTCCTGGACACCATCGCCACGCGCCTCGATGGCACCCGTGAGTAACCAACCAGCAGAGCTCTGAGATGATGCGAGAAACCTCTTTATCTGTCTGGACCTTCCATCTGTTGTCTCATGGATGCAACTTTAAAAGTTGAAATGTCTCCACAGTGTGAGGTGATGCTCTGTGTGTGTGTGTGTGTGTGTGTGTGTGTGTTGTCCTGCAGCTGATTGATGGCATGCAGCCACATGCATGAGGACGTTGGGTTTTTTGCTGCTCAGCCTGTGGTTGTAGTTTTTTAGACTCGGCTGCTTCACTTCCATTGTTGTTGTGCACATGTCCAGGCTCCACTCTGCTTTGTCTGCCCCACTCCTGCTGCCACCAGGAGAGGAGGAGGAGGAGGAGAGGAGGAGGAGGGCTGTGCACTTCACAGTCTGAGGCCCACTCACAGCTTTAGAGCTTCACTGACACAAATCCTGTTTTTATTCTGTTGTGTTCTGTGCGGCGTGTGTGGACAGAGGGAGCCGTGGCTCTGTCTTCTCTCCGTCTCCTTGGCGAGGGTGTCTTGTGAACAGATGCGATGAGCAGTCCATGTGTGGTGTTTGGGCTCCTGCTGGGCAGGTGGCGGGCGACAGAGACTTATATAGCTGTTGGGGCTGTTTGTCGCTTCTTCTTCTTCAGCGTTGATCATTCACCCCCCCCCCCCATAAACCAGCTATGTGTAACACAGTGATATTGGACCATGCAGAGAGCATGTCACTCAGGGTTCCTCCAGGCCCTTTCCTTTCCTCCGTTTCCTTTCCTTTCCTTTTCCTTCCTTTCCTTTCCTTCCTTTCCTCCTTTCCTTTCCTTTCCTTTCCTTTCCTTTCCTTTCCTTTCCTTTCCTTTCCTTCCTCCTTTCCTTCCTTTCCTTTTGCTCTTGAACACAGTATTTGAATGCTTTAACTTTGAAAGTCAAAGTGAGTGGTGAGTTCAGCTGCTCTGTCCTTTATCTTCTCACTCAACGCTTCAGGTCTCAAACATTGTAATCATGCAGCTTTATTGTGCATCCCTCAGAGGAAACACTGTGTGTGTGTGTGTGTGTGTGAGACCATCCTGTTGTGCAGATTAGCCCTCATCATGTAAAGCAGTGGTCTGAGCGGAGCTATTTTTCCCTGAGTGTCTAAAACACAGGCCTGCAGCGGCTGAGGTGCCGATAATTACACATCTCCAGCAGCACATGTTCAGTGGTTGTAATTAACTCGCATGGACGTCAAGAATTCATCGTGGCCTTTCTGCCTGTCAGAGGGGGAGGGGGAGGAGGGGGGAGGGGAGGAGGTGGGGGGTGGGGGTAAAATGAGAGGCTGTGTTGGGGGTGGGGAGGGCGGGAGTTGTGTGCAGGATGGTGGGATGGCAGTGTAGTTACCCCCTGATGTGAGGGGGGGGGCATTGGATGGATGTCTGAGTAGAAATCAACAGCTGTGACACACACACACACACACACACACACACACACAGTTCTGTGTTGTTAACACTGTGACATGAGGACAGTGAGGTGTCCATCTGATGGAGTGTGTCTCTTTGTCCTCGAATCAAACAGCATGATGATGATGATGATGATGATGATGATGATGATGATGGTGATGATGATGATGAAGATGATGATGATGATGTCATGGTCATGACTGTAAGAAGCCACTCGTCTCTGTCGGAGCTTCACCTGAATCCTCTTCATTAGCTGCCTCCAGGAGCCGCTCCACTGTTCTGATGCTGCACGAGGAGGCGACGCTTGAGTTTCTCCTTTAAAGCAGAAACGATGGTTTTGTATGAATTCAGATTGAAGGATAAAGAGCTTCTGCTGTGGCTCGGACAGAGGGCACACCTGGCTGCAGGTGCACTCTGGAACTTACTGACTCCAGGTTTTATGCTGCAGGACGATGCTTAAAAATGAAGACTCGAAAACCTCACTTTAACTTGGAAGATCAGTTTGTGTAGTTGCCGTAGTAACGCCGAGTTGTCTTCAGACACGGGTGAAAACGTCAACACGGCAGCATCTCCTCAGTCGGCTGAAGTGGTTCAGTCTGGATCAAACCACTGTGGCTGTGAAGTCTGTAAAAGTCTGCAGAGGCTTGCTAACAGGCAGCTAGCATTAGCAGCTAGCATTAGCCACATTGTTTTCCCCAGTGTCGTGCAGGAGAAGAAAGAAGAAGAAGAAGAAGAAGGTGGTGGTGAGCACATTCACCTGAGATAACATGACACCAGGGACCGAGAACTGGACTCAAGGAGGACGAGATCTACAGCGAGTACCACAACAACATCAGACTGACAGAGGAGCACACACACACACACACACACACACACACACACACACACACACCTGGTATGGACCTGAAGTGCAGCATCACTCTGTAGTCAGACATCACAGCGTCTGAATCATACTCTTGGAGGAAGGTTATTATTTATAGAGCCCTCTCATGATGGAGGATGGTTGCCAACACCTCTCAGAGCAGCATGAGAGCAGCATGCACCACACACACACACACACCACACACACACACACACACACACACACACATTCATATATATGTACATTGGTGCACCTTGTAAATAGATTTGTCAAATGACTAAGCAGCGTGTGAGCAGTTTTAGCGTGTGGTTCCCATTAAAGACACTGTGTTGAATGTGTTTGTGTGCACAGGTGACAGCGTGGAGGAGGCGTGGGGGGGCGGGGGGGTCCTCACTGCAGACTCACCGTCGTCACCCTCATGTTTAGTTCAATCAGTGCTCTTTTTTTTGCTGCCGTGCTCTGGAGGAAAGGCAGCAGCTGTGTGTGAGTGCGCGTGTGAGTCAGTTGGTCTTATTAATTGAATGGGTCTTGGCTTGGTCCTAATCAGGTTTTATCTGAGTCCTGCTCATCAGCTCGTCACGTGGACATGTGTGGACCGGCGCTCTGCAGGAGCTGCCACCAGCCTCCCAGCCTCCTCCTCCTCCTCCTCCTCCTCCTCCTGCATTTTTATTTCCCTCCAGACCTCAGAACACTCAGGTTGTGTTTGCACCTGTGCATCTTTGCTGTTTTGTGTCTTTGTCTGTGTGATTATGCAAAAAGCCCTGGACTGATTTTCACCACACTCAGGTGCAGATCCGGAGGAGAACCCATTAACTGCTGCTGCTGCTGCTGCTGCACATATGAAAGGAATTCATCACACACACACACACACACACACAGACAGACGTGTTGGATTGTTGGCCCTTGTCGGAGGTACACACTCTCCTGGTGACATTTTACTTTCAGATCCTACCTGCTGGGAAACTGTTTGTCTTTATGGATTCAGTCCTGGACTTGTTGCCAGTTTAGCACAAATGTCAGAGATTTATGAACGAACCGTCCGAGTCGCACTAAATGGATCAGAGACAGATCGATAACGGCGCCGCTCAGACTTCATTTCATAACAAAGCGAAAGCCAAAACCGCTCCTCGTCTTATTAACATGAATCTGAGCGTGTTATTTGCCGTCGTCACGATGTTTCATCTCCATCATATAGAGTCTCATCATCACACATGACGCTCACTTTGTCACGAAGCCCCAAGTCGCCGCTCTATTACTGTTGAATTACCCACCATCCCTCTCTTCTCCACCCTTCATCCCCCCCCCCCTTCCATTAGTTGCCTCCCACCCTCTCCTCTTGTTATTCACGTCGTTCTCTGCATGTGCATGTGTGTGCACATGTGTAAGTGAGAAGATGAGTGTGCAGCAGGGCTCTGGGCTGCAGGGAGGAAGACCGCGCGCCCTGTGTTTGTGTGTGTGTGTGTGTGTTGTGCGCCTGAGCCTGTGTGTATGTTTGACAGCACAGATTAGCAGTGGAGCATTGTGGTGTCTCAGGTGTGTGTTTCCCCTGTGGCGCTTTGTGTTTAACCCCCCCCCCCCCGGCTCCTGGAACAGATATAATGATAAGCCTAATAATGGCTTGGGCCTGGCTCTGCTGCTTCATGGTATTAGTGAGCTACGCCCATTATGTTTTCCACCACAGAAGAAGAATACAGCTGTCCCTGGAAGCGCTGTGAGGGAGCGTTCAAGTGCGCTGATGATGTTATTTCTTACCCTTCAGCATGCTGGTGTTTGCTGCTGAAGTTGTTAAGCTGATCTGGTATTAGCCATGTCCATGTCTTCAGATGTTAAGAGGAGCGGCGCGGTGGTGCAGTGGTCAGCAGCGTCCCCTCAGACCGTGATGGCTGTGGGTTCGATCCCCCGGGCTGGACTCTTCGTTTGCACGAGGTTTCTGCAGCTTCTCCATCTTCCACACACGTGCACATTATAAGATGAGACTGTTTGATCAGTGTTTGTTTATTGGAAACCAAATCTTATTTTGAAATTTTAGGTTCAGGTCAGATTCTTGCATCATTTGAGCCGAGAGCGTCTTTTAGACCTTTAGGTTCATCCTCTGGGAACCATCAACCTCTGTCTGTCCATCAGATGAGATACTTCAGTCTGGACCAAAAGTGGAGCAGCAACTGACAAACTAAAAACCCTGAACACACACACACACACACACACACACACAGAGAGAGGAGAGTTTTCTGAGGATGAATCAAGGCCACAAAAACGCTGGAGGAGAAACTTTTAGCACTTCAAAATAAAATCCCCAAAGACGTATATTGTGAAGAAGCTTCTTACTGCAGCAGCTTCGGAGGAGTGTGTGTGTGTGTGTGTGTGTGTGTGTGTGTGTGTGTGTGTGAGAGAGAGAGAGAGAGAAAGAGAGACCACATCATCTTCACGAACACTGCAGTATGAAATTCACTTTTCTGTGTTTCGCTGCTCATCATAAATAACTGTAGTGTTCTTCAGTCTTATCGTCAATAATCAATAGGTAAATAATTACGATCAATAGTTTCGCAGACGTTGGGGGTTAGATATGATGTGATGGATGAAGAGGAGTAAGATCACACCTGGATCCTGGTCCTGTAGGAGAAGGAGGTGGTGATGATGATGATGAGGAGGAGGAGGAGGAGGCATGCTGATTGGATGAGGGAATATGAGCTGATACATGATTGGTCGGATAACGGCGATGTCATTAAGGAATGGAAACGAGTAGAGGAAGTAGATAAAATGTGGGAAATGTTGTTGAGATCAGCCCCATGATGGTGGTTGTACTGGTTGTACTGGTTGTACTGGTGACTGATGGCGTGCTCCTGCTGCTGTGTGAGTGCAGTGAATGTGAATGAGGCCACATGTGGTCACTTATGTTAATGTGAATGATCATCCACAGAGCTGCTGTTGAGATCGTGGCATTTCCTGTCAGTGGACCAATCAGAGCGCAGCGGTCGAATCACGAGAGAAGACGAAGAGAAATGTTTTATTTCTGTAAGATGATTAAAATGATTAGATTCTCCATTAAACCAGATGACATCAGCATTCATGGGAATCAAAGGGGGTGAGTTACTACAGCTAATGTTGTTACCTAATGCAGTGTGTGTGTGTTGGTGTTTGTGTGTGTGTGTGTGTGTTGGTGTGTGTGTTGGTGTGTGTTGGTGTTTGTGTGTGTGTTGGTGTGTGTGTTGGTGTTTGTAGCGGAGCTCAGGCTGCTTTTATTATCACTGAGCATGAGGCAGAGAGAGGGAGGGAGGGGGAGGGATGGGGGGAGGAGAAGGGGAATAGATGGGGATGGGTGGTTAATGGTTCGAGGAGGCTAGGAGAGGTAATGGGGGGTGTGGTGATGGCAGATGTGAGCAAAATGCAAAACAGGAAGATAAAGAGAGGAGAAGATAAAGAGAGAAGAAGAGAAGGAGAGAGGGAGGAGCAGGATTCAAGAGGAAACATGTAGATCCATGAACAGATGTAAAAACCAGCTCAGTGTAGTTTTCCTCTGTGGAGCTCCAACAGGTTTAGTGTCAGCCAATCAGAAGACAGGAAGCTCTGAGCCTCTCTTCTGATTGGCTGAGTGATCCAATAAAAACAGAGCAGATTTCAGAATAAAACGCTAACAGAAACCAAATCCTGCAAGTTGATGGGTCCAGGTGGTGAGGGGGCGGGGCTTTGTGTGACTGCTTTGTTGTGACATCACAAAGTGACAGGAAGTCCTGACGGCTGGTTTTAAGGCTCAGTGTCTGAATACAGGCTGTGTGCATCTTAAACTGAAGTTGACATCAAAGTAAAATAGAGGCGAAACTGACAGAACGATAATCACGAATCACAAACACACCTTCAGGAGACAACGATAAGATTTCAAAATAAAAGCTTTTAAGAGGATGCTGAGTTTGGCTGCTTGAGACAAGGACTGAGTTGAGTGAGCACCTTGACCTCCCTGGAGGGAAATGTGAGAAGGTATTAAAGGATAAAATACTGGAGGCCGTGTTGTTTCCCTCAGTCAGTGACCTCTGACCTCTCTCTGACTGACTGTACATCACCTGCAGGAATCCACTGGAGACTCTGAGCCACACTGAGCTGCCTGGATAAAACATCTGAGCAGATTATACACAGAGCTGCTGCATTAGTTACATGGACTGTGAGTGCGACTGGGGCTGAAGAATTAATAAAACCTTCAATTAGCCCCGGTGTTCAGGAGCTGCACATTCATAATCAGCAGCCTGAGAGCTCACTTCATTACTCCTGAATTTACCGGCGTCCATTTTTTTTTTTTTTTTTTTTTTTTTTGCGCCTGCGGTCGTTAAGGTTGTTATGAAGTTGATAATCAATGATGAGAGAACTCTGCTCACTTAGTGAATTAGGGTGTTTAACAGATGGACCATTTCCACCATTCAGACAGTGAACTGCAGTCAGGAGGCCTGCAGGGCTGCTTCGCCTTACAAACACATGCACATGCTAAAATACACAAGTGTGCGGGTCCACACACACACAGGCACGCAGCAGGCAGTGCTTGTGTTTCAATCAATAGCGACCCAAACAGTCATATATTATTAACAAAGGCTTTCTGTTTAAAATAATCAGCATGGGCGCGTTCCCCACCCACCTGCCTGTGTTTACCCAGGCTGCAGGTGGATTATGGATTATGGTCACAGCGGCGGCGGAGGCCTCAGGAGGCAGTGGGTGGCGGCTGCACAAAGGCAGCGTGTTTGAATGTTGTGCCGTGTTCAACCTGCACATAATGAGCTGTTTATCTCCATCAGCTTCAACCTGAAGTCTCCGTTACAACCAGCAGATCATGTCAAGTGCACAACAACGAGCCATCTGGTCCGTGTGTAACCGTGGCAAGCGTCGTGTCGCGTTTTCTTGGCAGGAAGTCAAACGTGTTTGTAGTCGGTTCATGAACAGGATCTCAAGGCACCACCGGAGCAAGGAGGCTTCCTGCAGACGGTGGTTTGCTGCTGCTGCTGCTGCTGCTGCTGCTGGAGCTGCTGCTGCTGGAGCTGCTGCTGGAGCTGGAGCTGCTGCTGCTGGAGCTGCTGCTGCTGCTGGAGCTGCTGCTGCTGCTGCTGCTGCTGCTGCTGCTGGAGCTGCTGCTGCTGCTGCTGGAGCTGCTGCTGGAGCTGCTGCTGCTGGAGCTGCTGCTGCTGCTGCTGCTGCTGCTGGAGCTGCTGCTGCTGCTGCTGCTGCTGGAGCTGCTGGAGCTGCTGCACACGGAGGAGTCCGTTCATGTATCTTGGAGGGTTTTTTGTGCACAAGTGAGTGAAAAATGAAGCTGCTTGATTTGATGCAGCCACTGAGCTGAGCTGTCGTGAAGAGGAGGAGGAGGAGGAGGAGGAGGAGGAGGAGGGAGTTGCTTTCAATTACCGATGCCTCAATGTACTAGTGAAGAATTGACATTTCTGCTGCCAGTCAAAAGAAGCCAGGTTTCCTGTCAGCGCTGCAGAGACTGTGGATGAGAAGGTGTCAAAATGTCAAGAGGAGTTTTGTCATCTTCGTGTTTTTAGCTCAGAGTTGTCAGAAGTGTAATTGGAGCAATATTTCACGTTGTGGCGACGTGGCGATGCTCTGTGGGCGGGCGGGCTGATGGACAGAGAGAGAGGGAGAGATGAGACAGGTAGATGAGGCTGACAGACATGGACACAGGGCTGGACACCAGACCAGGTGGTCAGCCGAGATGTCAGCGTGTGCGTATGAAATGAGAGAGTGCCGGGGATGAGAGGGACGGAGCCGGCGGCTGTAATGGCAGTAAATGAAAGTGATGGAGCCAAAGCGACAGGGGCCACATTAGACGGCTCTGAAGTAATACGCTCAAGTAGGAAGCAGATGAATCTGTGCTCCGGCTTCATTAGAGGCCCGCACTCATGAAAAGGGCAGATGGAGCAGCCATTACATGGTCTTCACTGTGTTTCCTCAAACCTCCTCTTTTTACATTACGCATTTCAGCAGCAGCTCAATTATGTGTCCTGGTCCTGCAGCGTCCCTCGTCCCCGAGCACACAAATGAAACAAATCAGAGCATGAACAAAAAGCTAATGTACGAGCCGCTGTGGTCGCTGTGATGAACACGTGCGGTCCTCCAGCTCACGCTTACAGTATGACCATAAAGTAAATGGAGCTGTTTATTAATGCTGATCTAACGTTGAGTCGCAGACCATCATCAGCTGAGCAGAGAGGAAGCAGCACACCGTGGTGCTGAGCGAGTGATGTCAGCGGAAACATCAGAAGACAGACAAGTCAACAATTAACCATGAGACAACAGGTCAGATGCACGGTGAGCTTCACGTAGAGGTGCAGCCCAGGCAGCTGCGGAGGAGGAGGAGGAGGAGGAGGAGGAGGAGGAGGAGGCTCCTCCTTCAACTGCTGGTAGATTGACTTCAAACACAATCAACGTCCTAACGTCAAACACACACACACACTTTTATTTCCCCCTCCGGCCAACGGGGAGCTGTGGTGTCAGGCGTCACTGATAGGCTCCTCCTGTACCATCATGCTGTCTCCACAGGGCCCTCGCAGCCTGCAGCCCTGGGTCCCATCCATATTGTAATCACTGCAGCCTCTGATGCAGGCGGCTGCTTTGAACTAGAAGCCAAAAGCTGTGTGAAGTGAGTCACACATCAGAGGGCGTTCACATGTTTTATCCTGTCGAGGTGGAAACCGTGTCCTGCGGTCGCCGCAGCCTCATCGTATGGAGGAGACGCAGCGTGTTGGTGCTGATGGGACGGTTTCTGTCACATGTGCTAAAGTTCATATGTGGTTGTCATGACCACGAGGGCGCTGCACACTGGGCCGACGACCTGGGGACACTGGGGGAGGTTCAGCACCCTGAAGTCACCAGATGGAGCCTGATTTCCCAGAGGACATCCTCCTGTCTCTGGGTCCAGCAGGCAAACACA